TATATGTATATATTTATATAATGTATTTATACTTTATTTTCTATCTGTACCACCTGATGGAGGACAATGCCCAAAAATGTTTATTTACCATAAACAGAAAAAAAAGAAATCGGTGACAACTGTTAGTTATGGTTATTCGTAACCTAATTAGACATTAAATAAAATTGCATCAACAATCTCATTTTTTAATCATTATTATTTATATTTTGAGTGGAGTTGAATAGATTAGTGGGATGCTTGCCTTCTAATCCCAGGACCCTGGGTTCAATTCTTGTCATAGCAGGACTTTTTCTCACGACTTAAAACAACTTCACTCCCTAAAGGAACCAGTTGGTTTATAAAGCCTCGTTCCATTCTGTAAGTGGCGAGTATACTTGCTGTTGAATGTGAAGGATATTAAAGAAATGTATTACTACCACCGTTCTTATTATTATTATTAGTTATGGTTACAAACTATTATTGTTATTGAGAAATCTTGTGTTTTAGCATAAATACCTGAATTTGTTTTTGTAGGTACTTCATGTGCAATTTGATCAGGATTGGAACGCTACCATAAGAGAAGTGTATGCAGACAATGGCAACAATTTTAAAGGTTCCAGCGTGGCAAGTTTCTATGGTGACCAGATGCTAGTTGGAAGCATCACTGGAAATCTCCTGCACTGTCACGTGTATGCTTTTTAATTTTTAGTGTTTAACTGCTTTGTAACTTTAAAAGCTAACGGTCAGCTGGATCCGGATCCTGCTAACCGTTAGCTGCCGTGTGAAAACATAGCCTAGGCGAATTTATTCGCGCGAATCAAAGCGTCAGTTCGCTTCCTGAGCTCTGATTGGTTGCGCATTTTTTCGCTTCGCAAAAACTCCGATAGAAATGTGAACACGCATGCACATGAACCGGCGCTTTCGATTTGCGCGAATAAAGTGGAAAACTGGCTTTAAAGTCAAGGTTAACGCCATGCGGCGAAAACTACCTAATAATTGGAGATAATCAAACATATTATCGTCAATATTCATGATTGCACATTTATTTAACACAAATATACTGGTAGGCCTATATCAACCTATGCAATATTTTGATTTTACATTTATATATTCTGATATCTCTACTACAATTAATAAAACATGATACAAGGTGATACTAACTGAACTATCGGAGGCAGTACACTTTAATAATTTTAAAAATTAGTAAACAGTGGAAAATGTTGCACATGGTAAACAAATTTAGGTTTAAATACCAATAAGCTGGACATAATATATTTTGAAAGTACATTTTGTGCAACAGTCATTTAAAGCTATTTAAAAAATCCAACATCCATATATTTTATATAATATAGCTGTACTGTATATCACATGTCTTTTTACAATGTTTATTATATTACCAAATCTAAAATCAATGGTTTGACTGGAATGGACCAAGGATAAACCAAAGTCGTATTCCTAGTGGGGTCTCCCTAGTTGAAGCAAGGGTTTCATAATATACACTATTTGCAATTAAACCTCCAGAACGAAAATATATTGCACATTTTAAATTGCACATTTTGTGTTCCTTGCATTCATATATTTGGGTATATATGTATTATAATAAATAAGCATAAAAATAATGGTAATTAGGACATACTACATGCCACACTAAACAAACGCAAGCTAATAATCAAATACAATACTTTATGAACCACGATATAATCTTTTGCATGTAAGTGGGTATGTATTTTACACAATTTCACTGGTAAAGATTTGTGTTTTAATAATATCCACACATATCTGAATTACATTACAGTAAATAAACAATATCCACCACTAGTCTAACATTCACATCGTTAATGTTTCCTTATATGTCACAAAGTTTTAATGGTTTGCTATTAATAGTAGTATGTAAAAATCTGGAGCTACTATGGGGGAAGGACCCCCTAACACGTAAGAGTACACTCCATCCTACCCCTCTATAACCAATGGTCTTGCCCCTTTCAAACCGCAGGTCCTCAATTGCCACTCATGATTCTGGTAGAAAAAATCCTGGATCCACCAATAGTTTAAAAAGAGTGAATATTAAATTTATGTTCATGATGAGGTGACATGTATTAACCAGTACTAGCACTGGGGTCATGAAACGAGTAGGGGTCCTCATAATCCTTTCACCAAGTTTTTAGAATTAAATCGACATAGCTCAACAGAGTATGAACTTGTGTATGGACTTGATAAGAAGAAGCAGCAAGGCCTGCTTAGTATATTCTAGACGTAAAGAGTAGTTGATGCAGCAATGTTGTAAACGGCTTGGAAAGCGCTGTTAAAACTGCAAGACAAACCAATGACAGAAGTCAAACTCTCATGTTAGAGACATGAATTTTTTAAAATAGGTACTTGTTATGTTCTTGCATGAGTTGTTAAATACACACTACCATCTTAATTTAACATATTCAAAAATTTAACAAAATGGAATGGCCTAATTTTTATATTTAATAATGTATTAGCCTTCAATTGAAAATTTCAACAAGAGAAAATTATTCTTGCAAATTTACAGATGTTTAAATAACATTTCTAAAGACTTTGCATATACCCTTTAATTTATGGATTTTCATGGTAAACCCTTGGTAAATCAAACTATTTGAAAAAAAGAAACCTTTTTACTTATTGAAAATTGATTGCTTGTGAGCAAATATATATTTAAATTTCAGAGATTTTTGGTGGTATTTATCTTTAATTAAATGAAGAAAGAACTAAATTATAATGAGAATTAATGGACTTAGAAAAAAACATCTCTAAAGCAATCATATTAAAAATAATAATAACAATAACACTTTAAAAAAAATAAAAATAGCAATAACAATAGTTACATTCAAGAAATAATTAATACAAAAGACAGTAGCTTCCAGGGGGATGGGGAGGCCACCAGGGATTCGCCCCTAGATCTCTCAAACCTATGATGCCATGGGACCCGCGGCAGCTCTTAGTGGACAATAATTACTGTACCTGGAACTAAACAATGACCACTTTCTGGCGTAAAAGTCCTGAAATCGATCAAGAACGGTCATGGACTTGTACTCTTCTATAAACTTCTCATCTTCCAGTAGATCATTGAAAATTTTAAGCTCTTCAGATGAAAATTCTAGAACGAATATATTGATATGTATGTTTAGAAAAGATTACAATGACAACCAAAAATATTTGAGCACTATTTAAAGTATTTAATGTTCATAAATAGGTCAAATATTGCAATCTGTTGTCACATTTTTTTTAGCACCCAAAAAGACGACCAATCTTCATATACGCAAAGGCAACAGAGGGCGCGTATCACCTTAAAAAGCATGGAGGTCACATAACAAACAACCTGTCATAACAGCACTACACCTGAGAATGCTTGTGGATCATCATGCTTTGTGCAATTTAAGACCGTCCTAATTTTTTGAATCACCTTACAGAAAAAACATTGAACAAAACATTCAAAGGACCCAGCTGAATTTGTTTTTGATGATAATAAAATTAAACATAGTGGAAAACAAAGAAAGTTATAATTCATACCTGACAAATTTGATCTGTTATGGTTTCTGATTTCCTTGTAGCTATTAAACTTCTTCCTGATGGCGACATCTGTTGTGTTGACAGTCAAATACATATAACAGGATGGAGTGTCCGATATCGTGCGCACTATATGGAACCTACCAGGAGGTACCTAAAATAAGCAATAGGGCATTAAAAAGGTAGTGGGAAGGGGACAATATTAAAGATACAAGATGTTGATACATTTTCCATGCAGCAATAATAATAATGACTCCATGCAGCAATAATAATCATGACTAATACCATGTTAACAAAATATTGGCCAGAAGTCTCTCAGGCTAGACCTGTTTAGAGGCATGCTCAGCGGAGGATGACCAGGGTCAGTCATTGGTCGGAATATTTTTTGTCTTGCGAAGCAATGGAACTGAGCCAAAGACATGAATATGAAAACGATATTAATTATCATCACAACCATGATCATAATTACTATTAATAGTAACTTTCAATTCTGCTACTATTGTTTAAATATACAAACACTACAAATGAACATCATAGCTGTCTCTTAATGAGTTATAGTAAAACTCTGCTTAAGCTGCTCCTGACCAACATTTGTTGTACTTACCTGTTGTAAATGTGTATTGGTCAAACAAATAAATGAAATTAAAGAAATAAAAAGAACCTAATCAATTACAAAAACATTAATATGTATAAATTCACAAACTTGTATGCTGTCTCCTTCTTGTAATGTCACGTTTTTGCCACCATCTGCAATTTCAACCGCTACAGTCCCTTTAAGAACCTGGATACTTGTGTTGCCAAGATTAGGATCAACAAAGTTTTCAAGATACAATCCTGCTAGGACAGAGACAATAATGATGATATAATACATACCAGTCATGCACAAGTTGTACTATTAATAACTATGATAGTAATGTAATAATGATCTAGTATAAAATTTAATGGTGAGTGAAAGTGCAACATAAAATAGAAATTATGTACAACAAAAGTGAAAATTCTTTCGAAAAAAGTGAGCAGCATAGCTCAGTTGGCTAAACTGGTCGTAGCCACTGGGTGTGCGCTAAACCGTTAAGATCCTTTAGTCCCGGCCTAGTTCATTTCTATCTGCTGCATTCCTAGTGAATCAGATTGAAGGTTTAAATACAAGTTATGAGAGCACACTGTCTTTCGGATGAGATATCTACGCCGTTGGTCCTGCGTGCAATATGACTCATGGGCATGTTAAAGAACGGAAAAAGTATGCGATAGGGGTTTGTCTCCCAATGTACTGCCAAATCACAACCAGAAGAATCCCACTGAAAAAGAAGTCTTCTGACTTAGTGGGTTATCCTTGTGTGACTCATACACCTATCATTTTCTGTGTAAAAAACATATGACTATTTAATCATACGACAGTACATTTGGTAGAAGTTAGGGCACTGACCTGGAAAGTCTGCCACAAACACAACTGTGGTCTGATTATCCAAAGCATCTTGTATCTCATCAAATTTTGTTCGCCATGGCGACAGTTCTGAAAGGAGAGGCATCAAGTAACTTGACTGGCTAAGAGGTGACCAATCAGCTGCCACGATATCAACTTTTGGATTCCACATTCTTGATGTATGAAAATAAACATGAAATTGTCATCAAGAAAAGCAGCAAATGAAAGCAACAATTAAAAAATTTCACAGTGTGACTGTTACATTATATTAAACACTTGACCCGGTCACTGACCTCTGCTGAAATCGTCCATTCAGTGACCTCCATACATCAAAGTAAAGCTGAGGATGTCGAATATTGTGGTCTTTGAGGCGGTTTACCAAACACATGGCATACTGTTTTAACATGTCACCGTGGGCACTCCATCTTTCACTAGCACCATCCCAAAGCTATGCAAACAACCCCCAAGAAAAATAAATACCTATAATGATCACACTGTAAATGAAAATTTTGTATACAGCTTTTTCATCATGAAAGCAAATAATAACCATTTTTGGCACATTGTAGCCAATCATATTTAAATGTAGGGCAAAAAATCAACATGACAATTTTAAATTATCATTAATTTACATTTTCTTACTTAAACAGACAGTCGGCGGGCCGCACACACAGGGTTTATAATCTATTTCCGCGAACCGCAATAAACTCGCCGTCTTGCCACATTGTGGTCTGTAGGCCACACTTTACCCACCTGTATTATATATATACTGTAATAGCACATCTAACCAAATGAATCTACTTACATGTACACCCGGAGTAATGTAGCCCACTTGTCCTGTTGTGTTGTCCACATAAGTGATTTTAATGTGTTGACTTGACCAGCTATGGACCATCATATCCCATGAGTAACCATATAACCCATCTGTCCAGTTGTTGTATCCCTTTAAAGAGAAGGTAAGAGAGAGGTCGCAGAGGGCATCACTATACAAAAAGTTACTCAGCACACTGCAAGCCGACCTCAAGGAGGCAAAGATGGGAACTCTTAGAAAGGGCCAGGAACTAGGGGGAGATAAGGATGCTCGTAAATGACAAGATAAAGCGGCTTCAAATGAAGAAGTACTGATTGCAGCTGTAGGAAGTTTTTACCACTACAGAAGCAGTATCCAGTAGAAAAAAAAAATAATAATAATAATAATAATAAGAGAGAGGTTAGCAATTAAACAAGCTTAAAGATATTGCTTTCTTGGTCACAAAACCTTAAATAATAAGTTGTATACAGTATAAATAATAGGAATATAATGTACTAAATTTGTAGATTGAATGAATTTGAAGGTCAAAGGATCCTGCAAGTTTGTGAGCATTTTACCTTTGTTTTTCTAACTTTTTTGCTGTTTGCTGCAATATTTCTCCTGATTTGAGTAATTACATAGCTACAATGCCCTAAGCAGGTTTTAATGGTTCAGCCAAACCTCTTTTTTGAGCAAGCCCCAGTCTCATAAACTAAACCACCTTCCTCCCCTGCTAAAACACCATTAAATAATGATAAAATTCACCATTTACATGCAGGAATGCTTCAGCTCTAGGGTGCTTTGTCCTCTGACCTTTTTTTTCACTAGAAAACTCTTCTTGACTTCACCAGGTTTACTAGGTGCTGCTCTGACAGTTAGCCCTAAAAGAAGTCCTGGCCATGGACCTGCTAAAACTCTTCCAACACTTTCAATTTTCTTTGACAAAAAACTGTTGTATGCCCATATATAGCAATGATGTGCCTAAATATGTGACCATATATGGGCATGTCACTGTTTTTGTCAAATACAATTTGGTAGTTTTGACTGGGCTTTATTTGGAGATTCACTCACAGTTCTGAATTTGAATCTGGGATGTATGGATCGGTCTGCATCATCGATCTGCAAGCTATTAGGTGCTAGTTAGGTATCAATGATAGACTACTTAAAGAGTAATTAATCTTACCTTAGTTACAAAATGTGAGTAAGGTAGTAAGACCTGTGTAACTGAGTACGCTAGTAAACATACAATCACAACTTTATGTCTCACACAAATTTCATTTTCTGTTGCTACTTTTCTTTTCGCATTAGATGCACCTCTTTGTGATCTTCGTGTTGATTTGCCTTTTAATTTCCCTTTAAGTGGACGGATTTCATTGACTGGCTGTTGGCAGAGATCTAGTGAGTTGATTGGCTGTTGGTATAAGCAGTGTTTATTTGTCTGCAGCTGAGTATCCAATGGGAGTGCAATTTTGAAGGCATCTGGGAAATGTTTAAACACTCTCCTTGGCCAGTCAGCATAGCAGAACAACGGGATTGTTGCAAGCATTACGTATGGGAACATACCTTGTAACATAAAATAATAATAATACTAATAATACATTTCTTATATAGCGCAAACATATCTGACGAAATCTCAATGCGCTTTACAAAATTTAAAATGTATAATTTTAAATAAAATACATTAAAAGTACAAAGCATTCACTAACCAAACAACCATTCCAATTTAAAACACAATTTCACAATTTAAAATGTCATAAAAATGATAAAAAGTACAGTAAAATTTTTGGTTAAAAAAGCAATTTCACAGGTGAATTAAATTTTAATTTAAGTTTTATTTTTATTATTATTTACTTATTTTTATTTATTTATTTTTTATTTATTTATTTTTCTTTATTTTATACAATTTTTTTTTATCAGGAAAATACAAATCAATAAACAATAAAATGCATAATTAAACCTATTCACAATTACTGTATGTCAATTTCAATAATTTATTAAAACAACAATAAAATAACAGGAACACAGAAGATCAGTAAAAATGAACAGCTTTGGATTCTCACCCTGATCTCACAGTTAAAACCTTGATATATGGCTTATATAACTTGGGTAGCAATAATTTTCATAAGAGTTCCTGACTATTTCAACATTTCCAAAAACTCTTTTTACAAATATTATTAAAAATGTAATAAATGAATTTAAATGAACAAAACAATAAAACAGACCTGTAAGTAACTTATTATTATTATTATTATTATTATGGAAACCACACAAATGAATTTAACCTAACCTTAAAATTAACGCAAATAATAATATAAATTTGTTCAGAATATGTATGTGGCAGGTGAATCCAATTGGAATATGAGTTAATTTTCTATTATAACCTACCAGTTTACCTGAAGTAAAACAGAATAAATAAAATAAATAATATCAAGCAAGGCTTAGCTACTTAAAAACTTACCTATTTGGAACATCTGGGAGTTCATTGTGTGAAATGAGGCACAGAAAAATGCTGCAAATAGTCTTGTCTTATCAAAGTATAAGAAAAAACCAATAAACAAGTCTAGCAGTAAACCTCCTAAGTGGACAACATACAAGTCTATTTGCTCATTGGTCAAAAGTAATCTGAAAATCATACAAAAAGAATTCAAAAATAAATTTTTAACATTATTCTTTTAATAAATTCTATTTATTCACTTTATTGAGCACATGCATCCCTATTCCCAGCAATGTATAAATTCCCTTCACCCTCAACATAATCATATCAACCACAGGTGGCCTGACAATTATTTTGCGGCCCTTAGAAATAGTATGAAACCACTAGGTGTGGCCTGCCTACCATCTTCTGCTAGAAATGTTGTTACTTACAGCATAGAGAAAATTTTCTCTATGCTTACAGCCAGACACTGAAAAAATCCACTGAGCATAATTTGTTTTAAAAGCAACATGAAGGCATTTGAAGCACATTGAAAAAGTCACATTTTCAGCATATGTTTGCTGGTGGCCCTCAGTGTTAAATAAAAAATTCAATTTGACTTTCTGACTCATGCTAACCCCTCATCATACATTCAATCTATCCTTCTATCCACTCACCCATCAGTTTGTTCAACAATTCACCCAACCTTCCATATATCCATCCATCCATTTTTTCAACAACTATCCACCTAACCCTTCTTTTGTTTACACAACAACAATCCATCCATTTTTGCATTCGCAATTCAATCATTATCTATCAATTTCTCCATTCATCCATACTTCAGTTCAATTCCACTACTCATCTATCACCCCATTTATACATTTGGACACTCTCACGGTTCCTTTAAAATTGTTTAAATAGGAAGTCAAAGCTGTCGGTGAATTTTACCTGAATGGATCAAAGATCCAGTTATCAGCAAGGTTTCCCATTGAGTATCCTGACACCCAGTCTTTGTCAAGTTTCTTCAAACCAGCAACAAAATAAACTATAAAAATCTATCATAAAATGGAAAATTAAATGGTTAAATTCTTTGTAGCACTGGGCAATACGCATGCAATAATCATTATCAAATATGTTACCTTCATTAATATAATCATCATCATCATTTTATTAGAGTGATGTTTTGCCTTATTTGATGTGTTATCGTACTGAATACGCAGTACGTTCCCAAATACTTGCAAAAGAAATTTGCAAGTGATTCAGGTGGGAATCGAACCCACAACCTCCAGATAACTAGCCTGGTGCCATAATCACTAGACCACCGAGCTTGAGCATAGTGAGTGTTGAATCTGATCCCCAAGTAGCAGTGGTACTGCAATGCTATTTCGCTGCGCATTTGCGCTTAGTGTCTAGTGTTAAATCAGATCTCCAAATCATATCATCATCATATTTCAAAAATTATATCATCAGGCCAAATAAAATAAATTGTTTGTTTGCCCTTCTTTTTTTAAAAATAATAAATAGTGGCGGGTGGAAAAAGGGTTTTTTTTATTTATTTATTTTTAAAAAATACTCATCAGATGGAATAAAAATAACCCACAGAGGCCTAGATTGGCAATATCTTACATCAGACAACAACTTTAGACTAATTTGTGGGGTATCTGGCAAAAAAATACAAATTCACTTACATTTGTTTTATTTTGTAAAGAAAAAAGTTAAAAAAATAAGTTTTTTTGTTTTTCTGCTCCTATTGTTTTTCAGTGAGTTAGGGGCAGGTGGAGGGTAAACAAACAATTTTTTTTTTGGTCTTATTATGATTTCACTGTATCCTAATACTCAAGACTGAGATGTATATGCAGTTGACAAACCTTGGCAAATACAGTATGTCTAAATATATAGTAAGCCTAAAAAAATCTAATAAAAATATATAGTTTAGTAACTGACCTGAAATCGCACCAATGCATAGTTCCATAAAGGAACGTGGGAATTCCTTATGGAATGTTTAAGAAGTCCATCCACTGACCTAAAAATATATATAAAATAACTAGCAAATTATAAAATATTAAAACACTTAATCAAAACCAAAATATTAAAAAATATAATGAAAGTAAAACAAGCTTTTTCAACCCTCACTCACTCGCCACTGAGGAAGGACTAGTGTTGTCTTATACACATCTAGATGTGTATAAGAGACATATATATATATATATATATATATATATATATATATATATAAATTCATGGTATGTATATTATATATTCATTATTTAATTAACAATCATATGAGAGAATTTCATACCAACAACAATTTGCATCTATGAATAAAAACTGCAATCCAATAAGTCCATACAAATATGAGTGGTTATTCCACACTGACTTGTCCAGCAAAAAGATATACCAGTAGGTTAGCACAAACGTTAGGCAGCTGAGACGATACAGAAATCCAATGGTTAGACCCAAGGCTCCTGTAGGAAAACAAGTTCTTGTAATCTTGAAAGCTCAGCTGAGGGCAGTATAATAGAGGCAGTAGAGTATATTGGCCCTAACGTCCACCCATTCAAAAAGGATCTATTAATCAATCAGCCGAGTGTTTCTAGTGGCCCAAACGGCCCCTCATACAAAAAATATTGATTAATTAATCAATCAATCTGCAGGGTACTCCTACAGCTCCTCATTGGAGCTAAAAAGGAGTAATTACATGTTTAAAGGTAATAATAATATCTTAAATATAATATCCTAAATTAACTTTCTTCTTTGCTTAAATCCATACATAAGTTATCTACATTTAAAATTAAAGAAAAAAACAAGGCTGAATACTCTACCAAGGAACATCAGCAGGTAAATAACATACATCCAGTCAACAGGGAGTGGTGACAGAAAATAGAAGAGCGGAAAATGGCATTGCTGTGGATCTCCCCATCTCCTGCTGATGCTGGCCATCCCTCGTTCTTGGGGAATGTCAATAATGATGAGGAGACCTATGAAAGAAATCATGTTTGTTGAGGATCGATGTACATTTTGGCTAGAATAAGAATTAACATCAGTGCATTGGTAATGGGCTAATATTGGTTTTTTTTTATATCTACACGTTAAATAAAAATTTCCAACTAACAAGAAATGCACTAAAAAAGGCAAATGTTATTCCCATTTTCAAAAAAGGACCACCGTCTGAAATTATAGGCCAGTCTCCATCTTACCCCAATTTAGTGAAGTTTTTGAAAAAATAATCAATCAGCAACTTACATCATACTTAAACCGATTCAAATTATTATATCCTCATCAATATGGTTTTAGAGAGAAATACATAGCACAAAACTTGCTATTTCAGACTTAACACAGAAATTGTCGGAGGAAATAGATAATGGCAATATAGTTTATGGAATGTTTTTAGACTTTTAAAAAAGCATTCGATACGGTGAACCATGACATTTTAATAAGTTAGTTAAATAACAAGGGGTACAGGGATTACCTTTGGCTTTATTCTAAGATTATTTAAATAATAGAAAACAGTTTGTTAGTATAAATGGGATTGAATCAAATGAACTCCCACCAACGTGTGGTGTACCACAAGGGTCTGTGTTAGGCCCTACGTTGTTTCTTATATGTAAATGATATTGCAAGTACTACTGATTACTTTGACACTCGCCTTTTAGCAGATGATACCAGCTTATTCCATACTTTTAATTTATATGATAATATTGAATTACGGTATGTAAATGACCAATTGAAACACATTGTAGACTGGTGTGATTTAAACAAATTAACAATAAACTCAAATAAAACTAAGTATATTATTTTTCGTGGTAAACACAAAGTGGTCCAACCAAATGGTGCAATTTCTATAAAAGGCGCACACATTGATGAAGCAGAATCTACTGTACATATTGGGGTAACTCCTGACAAAAATCTGACATGGAAAGAGCACATTAATAAGGTAAATAAAAGTATTAGCTCTAAGGCAGGCATGCTTTAAAAATTAAAGAATTTTATTCCTTCATCAATTCTGTTTCTGGGAGCTCAGTTGCATACCAACCAAACATGGGGAGGGGAGGGGGGTGTGCCGCAGCCACTTTAAGACATGAGACACTTGTGCTACCTATTTTACTAAAAATTTTTATGGATTTGAACTACATTTACCAAAATCGCACTGTGCTTTAAATAACGACAAGAAAAAAGCCACTCAATATTGAAAGAGAGGTTGCAATATTTACTGGTTCCCAATAGCAAAAAGTGTTCCGTCCGGTCGCGATCTCGTGGCTGTACCAAAAGTAGGCTTAGCGAGGGACTTACCGGCTTAGCACCCAGTATAGCTTGAAATTCCCGCTAACATCGTGCGGAAAATCATGGCACATGACACAGAATAGGCCAGGGACTTTAACTACCAATTTCACCCCGTTTTTTCCCACACTTGTGCTACAAAGTCCTCGCAAGTATACCCTATAAATGTTGCAACTCCCCCCATATTTCCCACACTTGAGCTACCAAGTCCTCGAAATATACCCCGTAAATGCAGCACCTCCCCATATAGAAAAATTTGAGAGTAATGTGGGACAATTCTCTATTGGTTGGGTGTCTGGGGCTAGACTATAGAATGGGATTCCAAAATATATCCGACACGAATCAAAAACTGCATTTAGGAGAGAACTAAAGATATTTTTATTGAAGTAAACTTACCCATTATTTCTTGTATATTTATGTAATAATGTATGTATTATATCTTTTCTTCTGAATGAATTTTTAGATAAATTTTATTTGTTCTTTTGCATTGTAATGGTATATTAAATATTTGTTAAGTTGAGAAAAAAAATCATAATTATGCCCTATGCATTAAATAATGCAATTGTTTTGTGTGTAAGGGACTGGGCTTGATTAGTGTTTACACCATTTTCCAGCTCTTTCTATATTGGTTTATGTATTTATTTGCATTTAAGATTATTTATACTTATTGGGAAAATAAAGTTGAAGTTTAAGAAATATACATTTAACTCAGCAACTTACATCATACTTAAACCGATTCAAATTATTATATCCTCATCAATATGGTTTTAGAGAGAAATACATAGCACAAAACTTGCTATTTCAGACTTAACACAGAAATTGTCGGAGGAAATAGATAATGGCAATATAGTTTATGGAATGTTTTTAGACTTTTAAAAAAGCATTCGATACGGTGAACCATGACATTTTAATAAGTTAGTTAAATAACAAGGGGTACAGGGATTACCTTTGGCTTTATTCTAAGATTATTTAAATAATAGAAAACAGTTTGTTAGTATAAATGGGATTGAATCAAATGAACTCCCACCAACGTGTGGTGTACCACAAGGGTCTGTGTTAGGCCCACGCTGTTTCTTATATATGTAAATGATTGCAATTGCTACTGATTACTTTGACACTCACCTTTTTTGCAGATGATACCAGCTTATTCCATACCTTATATTCATATGATAATATTCACTTACAGTATGTAAATGACCAATTGAAACACATTGTAGACTGGTGTGATTTAAATAAATTAACAATAAATACAAATAAAGCTAAGTATATTATTTTTCGTGGTAAACACGTAGACTTGGTCCAATCAAATGGTGCAATTTGTATAAAAGTAGCACAAGTTGATAGCAGAATTTACAGTACACATTAAGATAACTCTTGAAAAAAATCTTACATGGAAAGAGCACATTAATAAGGTAAATAAAAGTATTAGCTCTAAGGCAGGCATGCTTTAAAAATTAAAGAATTTTATTCCTTCATCAATTCTGTTTCTGGGAGCTCACTTGCATACCAACCAAACATGGGGGGGGGAGGGGGGTGTGCCGCAGCCACTTTAAGACATGAGACACTTGTGCTACCTACCTTACTAAATATTCTTATGGACTTGGAACTACAATTTACCAAAATCACATTGAGCTCTAAATAGCATCAGGAAATAAGCCAATAAATAGTGAAAGAGAGGTTGCAATATTTACTGGTTCCCAATAACAAAAAGTGTTCCGTCCGGTCGCGATCTCGTGGCTGTACCAAAAGTAGGCTTATCAAGGGGCTTACCGGCTTAGCACCCAGCATAGCTTGAAATTCCTGCTAAAATCGTGCGGAAAATCATGGCACATGACACAGGATAGTCCAGGGACTTTAACTACCAATTTCACCTCGTTTTTTCCCACACTTGTGCTACAAAGTCCTTGCAAGTATACCCCATAAATGTTGCAACTCCCCCCATATTTCCCACACTTGAGCTACCAAGTCCTCGAAAATATACCCTGTAAATGCAGCACCTCCCCATATAGAAAAATTTAAGAGTAATGTGGGACAATTCTCTATTGGTTGGGTGTCTGGGGCTAGACTATAGAATGGGATTCCAAAATATATCCGACACGAATCAAAAACTGCATTTAGGAGAGAACTAAAGATATTTTTATTGAAGTAAATTTACCCATTATTTCTTGTATATTTATGTAATAATGTATGTATTATATCTTTTCTTCTGAATGAATTTTTAGATAAATTTTATTTGTTCTTTTGCATTGTAATGGTATATTAAATATTTGCTAAGTTGAGAAAAAATTATGCCCTATGCATTAAATAATGCAATTGTTTTGTGTGTAAGGGACTGGGCTTGATTAGTGTTTACACCATTTTCCAGCTCTTTCTATATTGGTTTATGTTTTTATTTGCATTTAAGATTACTTATACTTATTGGGAAAATAAAGTTGACGTTTAAGAAATATACATTGAACAAAACAAATTAAAACATGGTTGTTGAAGTTCGCTGTACATTTTGGCTAGAATAAGAATTAATATCAATATAATGGTAGTGGGGTAATATTGGCTGTTTTTATATATATTGAAAATTTTATTAAAAACTGAAATTTGAAAATATCATTCCAATCTCTAGTAAGTCTTCCTTTGAAATAATAAAGCATATCTGACCATCTTTTTCTATTTAAGGCAATTCTCTTAAGGTTGCAATATTATTTATTTGGTTTTATGTCTAAGCATTAAATAAAAATCTGCAACAAGCAAGAAATATATATTTTACAAAACAAACAAAACATGGTTGTTGATCGTAGTATGTTTTGGGTAGAATAGGAATCAACGTCAAACTAGTGAGCTAATATTGTAACTAGTGGGCAAATTATTTTTATTCAAACACCTACTGTATTTGACTTAGCATCGTGGGAAAAATTACAAAAATAACAATTACTTGATTTGGTTATGACATTTTTATTGGCTGTTTTTATGTCTAAATATTAAATAATCAGTTGGAAGCTGAAACAATTTAGCAGCTGAAATATGGAAACATATATGTTTGGCATACTTACCAAATACAACTCTCCAGATAGCTAATGATGCTGAGTCCCTAGGTTCATGCAGTAGACGTGTAATGCTCTCGAAGGAGAGGTCAGTCAAGTTGAATCCTAGAGCAATACTTATCTTCTCCTTCCATGTGCTTTTCAACTGAGCCATTGTAAATCTATTTAAGACACGAGAAGAAGATTTTGCTAGTTATCGATTGACTATATTTTTAGATAGCGACAAGTGTATGCCTATTTACAATACAAAAACTGATATACACTGACTTTTACTTTTATAGGGTGTCAGTAAAATTACCTCAAAATGCAAAAAAAAGCTAGTTTCATCACAAATTATTGTGGGAAAAATTTTAAAAATAAAAATTACTTGATTTGGTTATAATAATAACTTCGACATTAATTGTGAACATTTTCAGTTTAATATCAGCATATCAAAATAACTATTGTTTAATATCAATTTCAAAAGAAAATTCACCTACTGTACATAAATATTACATTGTGTTTGGCTGAAGTCAATGATTAAAATGAGTAAATAGACCAACAGCTGTTGATCCTACTATGAGTGCTTTAATATTCAAAGAAAGGAACTATTTATTCTTGTAATAAAGCTGGTGTCATAGAGCTTTCCCCTCTCCCACCCCATGAAGTCACTGTTGATATAGGCTGGAAAGACCATATTCACAGAGGCCAATTTCCCTGTGACAATGGCACATGGCCCTTCAGAAAAATACTGTTTACAAAATAAGTGAAAAATTTAGAAAAACATAACAGTGAGTCTATTATTCTACTAAAATATTACTCTAGTTACACATAATATTTATCTCAGCACATTAGCCCTATTTCCACCAAACATGCATGTCTGATACAGGGTCGTAGCTACTGGTACGGTTGGTCAGGTTTCAACCTGACCACTTTTTGACAGAGCAAAAAAAAGGCTAAAATCTACCTGTATATTTAACCTACTCCCTCTTGACATAACTCAGGAATCCCGAAGTCTGTGAACTCTGAAGTGAACAGTTAATGATAGTTTACATTAATTTATTCTCTTTAATAGTATAAGATTTACAATGATTAAAAAACTAGGAGGCATTTTTTCTTCACTTGAAATTCAGTGTCTACTGTATGTGGGCGTTGCAAGTAGGTCAAACTACACACAATGAACTTTGCAGAAAATCAGGCTAAAGAATCCCTTATACACTTGCCTAGGACCAAGAAAAACAGCATGCCTTTATCTGTATATTATTCCTGATGGTTCTAGTATGCAGCATTATTTTACTATAAATAAATATATACTGTAAATATACTTTTAAATACATGTATTGATTGAAAGTGTACCATAGCAATTTTAATTTTCGTTCATATTCTTAATATCTGTGACAATGTCAAAAAGCAAAATACTAAAATAACAACAATGATGTGAGTAACAATCTTTCTCTTGAATAAACCTGCCTGTTTTGAATTCAAAGCATTTAGCATTTTTATTGTTTTACTTTATCATAGCCCTGATGGAAGTTGAAAACATATTCTTATAAAAAATAATTAAAAAATATTTTTAGACTACAGTATGTATTAGATTACTACTACAAAACATCATTAAAATATATAATACAATTTAAATTTTTAATTTAATTTTTTTTTTTTTTTTTTACAATGTAAAAATAGCAAATTTTTACCGGGGCCTACAGCCCCTGATCCCCAGGCCCACCTCAGTGCTCGCTTTGCTCACAACCTGAAAACTTCAATTCTCGTGGCCCTACAGATATGATTTGACAGCACACATGAAGTCATTGACTGGGTTGGGCACAAGCAATTCCTCTGCAGAACATCCACAATTTTGGATTATGGAGGGTAGAAGTACGCCTTTCGTACACCGGCGGCCTTCCCTACCACTTTACCACCAGTCCCACCTCTTCTATAGCAGTTAAATCAAAACATCCCTGACTGTAAAGTAAGGCCTGATTGAGAGTGAAATATATCCTCTGTGTGAAAATTTGGATAAGAAATCCAACTGCGTATTTCGGAAAATAAGGACGGATTTTCGCGCAGATTTTGCCAAAATTAACTGTAGGCTTTTACCTGGCCTAATCTTAAATGTATTGTGCAGTAATTACGATTCTGCTCACCTATTTTCTTATCCACGCAAGTTTCTGCTCACATTTGAGCTGGCTTTTGAAATATCATCATCCGCACAATAAAAAAAATATTACTACTAGGCCTAGGCTAGTATGGAAAACATCCATTGCTGAGTCAAGCAAGGAGGAATATTCTGGAGGAACATGTAATAACCTAGCTAGTAGTAACTACTCTATAAAGCTAAAGGCCCAGGCCTACTATAGTATTAGTATTAGTCCTTGGGTAGGCTGGAGGCAAACTGACCGAATTAATACTAGACGCAGGCCTAGAACCAGTCGGCTCGTTAGCTTAGCTAGGCCCAAGCCCGGGCCTGGTCCACTCAGTTACACCTACTAGGCCTACCTAATAAGCAAGCCTAGTCTAGGGCCTAGGCCTAGCCTGCCACTACAATAACATAACATATTGTAACAATATGTATACTAATTGCCCATAAAATAACTCCAGGGAGACCAAATAAAATAAAGCTTGGCCTTATTAGAGAGAACGCCTGACTCACCTTTATAAAAATATGCTTTGGTATCAACTGAAAATTCTAATTTAGTAAAGCAAGTGCCATGTCCTCTTTGTTTGTCTCGAGTTCAGTCAACCGAGGAGGAGCTTTACTCGGCTCTCACACGTCAACTCACGTCAAACACACATCAACTCTCGTTAATTTACGTCAACAACACATCTTGCACGTTAACCTAATTTCCGCCAACGTTAATTTCCTTAATAATAAGTGTATACGTATGCACGCATGCATGCATCATGTTATTTGGAATCCCCCCTGATCAATTTAATTTTGTTTTGTGAATGTGTTTAATGTAAACATTGATAATTAACTTGTTTGTATACCGGTAATTGTGTATATAGCCCTAAAAATAGTAAAGTAATGTAGGCCTACGTCTTTGTAATGGTGGTATGAATAAAAATGAATTACATCATTTATTTACAGGTTTCAAATTAAAGACAACTCCAATTAAAATATCACTTTCTATGATCTCAACAATTAAATGTCTGATGAATCTATACAGTAATCACTGCGTCACTAGGGGAGGGAGTTTGCGCTGAGCTTGCGCATGACTTCATTGTCGTAATCCAGTCCGGCCACATTGTAGTAAGGTCGATACGATATAGGCAGTTACTACAGTACCATTATTATCACCATCCGTATGCATAATTAATAGCCTAATAATGATTAAGTATTCGTTAAATATATTCAATACCCCGATTCAACAATAGCGCAAGCTCGGTCGGTCTAGTGGTCCTTGGTTCGATTTCCACCCGAATCACTTACGAGCGTTTTTCGCAAGTGTGGGAACCATCTGAGCATTTAGTACTAACGGTTACCCGTTAGTTAGTAGGGCAATCATTCCATATTCAATTTAATATACAAAACCATGTGAGCAAAATATAAATATAATATAAAACCAATATACACTGTTATATATAATTTATTAAAGGACGACTGTTATTTCACAGTTACAAAACATAGAATAATCCTATCACTTAAACGTTTAAACAATTATATAAGGTCTACATTTTCGAGTTGCCGTTAGGATGGTATCCTTAAGCTTCGCAATAATAGCCTAATATACAACTATCAAAGGTTCCGGATGCTCAGCTTCGCTGACGGATTACTTGTAAAATATGTTTAATTAATTATATTTAATTGTGAGAAATCGATGATAGCCTAGTACATAGGCTTATTGCGTACCAATTGTGTACTCAGCGTTATTTTTATATTTAGGGGCCTACATTTATATTGCCCATTGACGAATTAGTCCGACGATTGGTGGGGCCTGTACTTCTGGTAGCGGTTTCCGCTAGTAACCCGTTGCTGTATGTATTGAACGTGGCATACTGCTCAATATGTAAATCGGTCTTCTTCTTGCGTCCGCTAGAAAAACAAAAACGAAAAAGAATTTATATTACTTAGGCTGTAAAACAACATCAGTAAGCGCTAAAAAACCAGGTAAAAGAAAAATACAAAAATGTGAACATGTTTGCAAACTCAACTAAATATGGAATCGGCCTCTACATAGTATACAATTGTTTCCCTAATGTCATCATTCATTATGTTTTAAGGGGTGAATTGTTTACTCCAAATAGGCTTCAATACAGGTCTCCCTCCAACTGAAGACCACTTTTGGGACCGGGGTTTTGGTGGTCTTTCAGCGTCTCTAATTACAATCCCTCTAAAGTAAAACCGGCACTAAAACTGGTCTTAAATATCACTGTTAGGGAAATTTAAGAAATGATAGGCCTATAGTAAATGTAAGATCGTTTTATTCCTGCTTTAGAATGGATTTACAGTTACTGTATAAGCTGTTAATGATTCTAAATAAACCATTTCTTGGTAGTCACACATCAAGTCATGCGGTCGTTCTACCTAACAATATCACCGTAAACATCGTACAAATCTATGTATGCCTACTCAACAGAACACTGTGTACACAAACCATTATCTTATGTTGTGCACTATTTTAATGAGTATATCATATCATCATTTACTATTTAAAAATAACTGCATTAAAGTCACATTGTAATGTATTCTTTATTTGAAGGGAAATTTTTGATCCGCGCGAAGCGCTGACCCAGAGCCTTACTGCTGCTGTTGTTGTTGTTCTTGTTACCAAAATTTTAAAACGAACGGATGTGCAGGAAATTTTGTACACAAACTAGGTGATTTCCAACAAACGTTCATCCCCTTTTTAAAATTTGGACCCCAGGTTTTTCCCCCTACACCTACAAAACAAAAGAGGGGTTTCAAACTCTAAAAACGTCCAGCGTCGCCAGTTTTGACCGGACGTGCATGAAATTTTGTACACATAAACTAGAGGTGATTTCCAATAAACGTTTTTAAAGTTTAGACTCAAGGGTTCCCCCTACACCTACAAAACAAAACAGGGGTTTCAGCAAGAACTGTATTACAGTACTGCCATTTACCACTACAGTAATAGTGCACGTCGCGGGCGCTGTCCGTTAAGGATGCGTTGTAAAGAACTGAATGTCGTGAGTTCCAATTATTTACAGTAATCGCGTATCCTCGACAATTAAAAGACGATAAATAAACGGTCTCCTGTGTGGCGACGTATCCAGGATTTTGAAAAGGTGGTGCTGAATATATTACATTCATATATAAGGCAAGGCGAAAATTAGGGACGGGGCATATCGATCGCTATGACTATGATTGGATGTTAACCGTCTAAAATGTGGTAAATTAATTTGTTATACTTCCATTAATTAAATTTAAATTAACTATACGGGCTTGTCATGCCAAAACCAGAATCAGTGACCAAGACAAGAAACAATGAAGCTTCAAAATTACACTCTGGAATCGACTTATATCTATTGCCAAAGTAAAAGTAGTAAAATTATTACTTCTCTGTACTAAAATATAAGCCTACAATAATGCATGCGACTGTTACACAAAATGGTTTGTTATCATAAATAAGTGTTGATGTAGTTTCTAATTAAGAATTACAAACATCCTATATATAACATACTCACCAATACTTTGCACCAATCCAAGTCTTCCGTCTTGATCGTATTCATACATACGTCCAGCCATGCTGCTCAGGAACCCAGCTTTATCAGCATTCGGGGGAAAGTGAACCTTGCTTCTAAATATACAATGTTCTGGACTGATGTTCCTTGTTGAACGCATATTGGAGTTGGTGTGGACTAGCGGAGGACTGGAACTGCGAAAGTCAGGCGAACAAGATCCATTTGGCGAACCCCTATGATTATGGATAGGACTAAATGTATATTGTTTATATTGAGTTGTCACAGCTGCCGAAGTTGAAATTTTAAATTTCTTTACAGTTAGATCAAGTGGTTCATCATCCAACGATGGTCGTTTTAGACTGTTTTGTGAGGTGCCATAAAAATCCATTAGATGTTGGTCCATCACACTCATTGTGTTCGGCAATGCAATAGGCATAAACATCGGCATATAGCGAGGACGGTACTCGACTTGGCTGTAAACACGATCCGCTGGAGTCGTCGGTGATCTCAGCTTCTGTTTATTTCTTTCTGCAAACCTCGAATTTGGTGTAGATGTAAATTTCTCATCTTGTACTGACAAATCCACTGTTTCACCAACGTCCTTTATATATTGTTGATAACGTACTTTTATGTCAACCCAATCGTTTTCCATTCTTGACAATTTACAATGCTTACAATCTTCATTCATAATCCAAAAGTTGTCCTTTCCTGACGGCCTGTCCGGACGACGAAGAACTTTTTTGAAACAATCGTTGATACTCAAAGTATGACGCACACTGTTCTTCCATCCTTCGTAGCCACCACGAAAACAGTGGAAAGCTTTGGTCATTGATCGTACTATGTCCTGTAACGTCATCATTGTACTGGAATTAGATTCGATAACATAAGTAATCATCTCGATGTAAGAAAATGGAGATTTGACATGCCGCATGTAGTCTGGTCGTGGTCGTGATCTTTTATTTATCTTCTGTGGTTCAGCCGGCGAGTCACTTCGGATTTCGTTTGCAACATCCGTTTCAGAAACATCATCAGGACACTGAGGTTCCAGTCTGAGTACAGGTTCTTGAACAGTTGTGTCTGGTGAGGCAGCCGTATTCACATTATACAAGACTTCTGCCATATTCTTTTGGCCACAAAGTTCTGGATAATTAATAATGTAGTGTATCTTGTTACGAGGCTCAAAGGCTAATGAAGATGATGAAAACTACCACAGTTTATATGCACCAGGCTATGGGCCTCACCTTTCGAATGGTCGTGAAATTGGTAAATTCCAAAACAAAGCTATTGTTTCAATCTTCACATATTAATTGGGAGGTGTAACAATTAAAAACGCACGTTCATTACGAGTATAATGAAAGTTCAATTACAACTGCTGAGAATGGCATTGTATAACTCCAATCACATTGTATGTCTAATTCAATTGCAGGGCGTTGATGAAGATATATGCATTCATTCTGTATTGTTCATAGAAAGGCCTATTCATGTATTCAAGATTGATTAATCAGATCTTATGAGACAGTTTAACAATGGAGGTATAACTTGCACGTTACCCAACATAGCATTTAGCCTGATTGTATATCCTTCGTGCTATTTTATTTTTTATAACTATATTAATTTTATAAAAACATGTAGTAATATAACTTTTACTCATAACAAGTTACCGGTATGGTATTATTTCTCCTGGTGTTCCTTGATGCATTAATTTCTAAAAATCGTGTAATCGAGACGTTTATTAAATATTCTATATACATGTACTGTATATACACTACAATACAATAAAAGTAGAAGCAATTTAAACACTTTTTAAATTACAGTATTCGAACCATGTCTGAGCACGGACGCGTAAATATATAACACAACTTGATCCCACTTTCGCATCCCGCTTCACCAAAGTAATTATACAGGGCCGCCTCCCCTAATGAGTGTAGCTAGCTCTCAGTTTCAAAATATGCGTACTTTAGCCTCTCTTCCTTGTTTCCTCGACATTAGGTTTAGATGGCAACATTACTCCACTTTAAACCCTGTTAGTCTTTATCGTGATTTCCTGTATTCAATTGAAATTTTCTCCTACACAATTTAAACATTCCAGTCTATAATCACATAGCCTCCTACACCAACTGCCAGTGCTCACGATTGAGTTTGTATATTTGCATTAATTAAAGAACGAATGAATACAGCTGGACAAGTATGATTTTGATTCTTATAGCTTATAGGAGAAATACAATAGGCCTATGACAAAGAAAAGTGATAACTTAGACAGCACATAGTCGCAGTTTGTTTTTTTATTGCTATCAATTAAACGCCGAGAGTTTCTTTTATACCTTGCCAAAAATCAATATTTCACATCTTGTACCTAACAATTCATTTGAATTGTTAATTACAAGATGTGGAATCTTGTACCTAACAATTCATTTGAATAAAACTTGAATCAAAATTTACATTTTCTTGATGGCATTACCCTATTTATTACTATACACTTTGTTATTAATAAGGCATATCATTTATCATAGTATCACAAGGTAGTAAAACTGTGAGTGGTAAAATCGCCTTCACAATCAACAGCGATCCAATAAAACAAAGCTGCTTTTTTAAAACATGCTACGGATTTACAATTTTCACAAAAACCATTAAGGCACAGTACTGTGCATTCTGAAACACCCTTTTCTAAGCAGGCAAGCATATAAAACTGTATACGTTAAAACTAAACTCCTGGTTTCAATGATGCGTTTTAGAAAAGGAAATTTAGGATACTTGGATTTCCATCAAGGCAAGAATGTGTATCAACTTCTAAATATACAAATAAATAAAATATATAAAGTATAATATTCAGAAAAATATATTTTTGTGCTTTGGAGAATGAATTCTAACTTTAAAAATAATACAATGAGCCTACAGTATACCCCCACCATAATTCTGGGATCTCTTTCAGTAACTAATATTAATTTGAAAAATAGGTTTACTTTAACAGCATTATACTCCAGATTGAAACTTAGAATTACCCGCATACAAGACTTTTGCAAGGTGTTTTGCAATCAATGTGCTCATCTGCCTACAGCAGACGATTGTTAAATAAATAGCAAGACATTTATATTTCCAAACAAACTCACAAACTAAAAAGATCAACCATACACCAAGGGCACACCCTTTTAAATGCTTGGCAATAAAGACGTCACCAACCAATCAAAACGTCTGTTCTGTATGCTTTGTTAACACACTAGTCTCTTAAATACATGTACACTTCACCCTCCAATCCGAGACCACCTTTGGGACCTGAAAATTTGAGATGGTCTCGGGGTTTGGTCTTCAATTACAGGGTTAGCTTTGTGTTATACAATTGACAATTGTAATTTGGTTCTTAGAAAAAAAGTGGTTTTGAATTAGAGGGGTCTTGAATTGGAGGGTGTACTGTATGTTATTAATAAGTGTGTGGTGTTTTACAGAAATATGCTTTCTGTCATTCACATGGATAACCAACATTTCTAACTTTTCATATATAACTAAATAAATATACAGCTCTTTATCATATCTACATGCAATAAATTCAAAAAGCTTTAATATCTACAAAAAAAATGAGTGAAAGTGAATACCATGACACATATGTGACAAGATTTAATACATTGTATTTAGACTAAAGTTAAAAGTTAAAACTCTGGATAAGAATTATATAAATACATCACCAGATGTAAGAATTTTTATGCTGGTATACTTTCTTAAATAATTATATCCATCAATCAATGTAAAATCCTATAATGAGTTGCAGCACATATACATCTTTGAGTCTGCTCCTTACTTACAGACGAGAAAATAAATGTTACACACATAAATATATCTATAAACATGGCCGGTATCAATATCAAGGCATATTCAATTGTTTTTGCATATCAAATAGTAGTTTAAAAAAGATGGGCGGAATACGTTGAGTCTAATAAGCATTTATGCAAACAATATTTGATATTATTTAAACACTTGGAATGTATTGGCATATAATGAAATGGAATGGTTTACCTTCCCAATCCTAAAAGATCGTAACATTTTAAATTTCTGTAAATGAAGTTACAATGATTATGTATAAGATCAGTCTAGACCATGATAACATAGGAATAAAAATTGTATTATCAACAGTTGTACAAATTACTGCAAATATTCCTAAAATTTCCAAGAAATAGTTTGGTCTAGGTAAACATATTTGTTTATATATTTTTACTGAAGTAATTATTTTCTACACTAAAACAATGTTCCACATAATATACCCACGCTGTGTGCACTTACAACACAAAGTATTAGTGAATTGAAACAACAGCCATTATGTCATTTGTATACTTTTTGTCAAACTACAGCTAACAGACAACTGCAAAATTTATGAGTGTATAATTATCTAAGGCTAAGTACACAAGAATAACAATACATTCATATTGATGTGTTTGTTCGGCTGGTCCAAAAATGCATTGGTTTCTTTTGTTCAGTAGTTTTCTAGTAGTAGTCGGTTCTTTCTGTTGCAGTCTGTCTTCAACAGTTTACACATTGCTGGCATTTGGATCATGGATCTGTTAACAAAAAATAATTTTCAGATAAGAAAACAGCACTGAAATGATTAAAAAATAACGGTACCATACAATAAAACAATAACAATTAATATAATTGGCATCAAAACATATACTTTAAAAACATCATTTATTCTGCAGGATGGACCACAGCTAGGCCAATATTGGAAAATTTAGAAAGATGACCTGCAGCGGATAACAGCCTTCATCAAAATACTGAAATAGACACAGTATCTTAGGAGTTGAACAAGGTAGCACAATTTATGAAGTACTGTATGCTACAAGGCCAGAACTAAAGCACATAACAATCATGACTCAAAATCTACAAAGTTCATATTACTGTACAACGGTCCAAGTCACACCAGATTATAAATTTACAGGACAAAAAAAAAAAAATTTTATACCAAATCATTACTAATTAAAAAAGAACAGCATAAAACTATAATCTACAGCATTGGCATATATAAGGCCAATAAATTTCGTTCCCCAAGGCACTTAATATGTTGAATCAAAGCTTGCTATGTGACCTTAACATCTGGCCTCCTCCTTTGCAAGCTGTGAATGTATGACTTGCTGTATATAGTTAACCCATCAATAATTCACAATATGGGTGAAAGACACACAATGATTAGTTTTTAGAATGATTAACAAAAAGACGTAGATATAGATATACTTTGTTGTCACATCAATAAAAATACTAGACTCGGTTCTTCATTACAGTAAAATATAAAAAAAACCATAATAGAAACACATAAAAAAATGAAATTATATTAAAAAAAAACACTTTCTTTACTACAATATATTCAAGACAATTTTGTAATTTATCTGGTTAATTTTGCTAATGTTTGAGATTTGCCACTTTGCCCTATATGTGATGAAATAATGAAATAATTCTATACACATAGAAAAAATGTTTTTAAATAAAACAATAGAATATTAAATTCACAATTAAGAAAGTATTGTTAAATGGAAGTATCTATGCAGACACAATCAACTTACCGTATTTATTCGAATAAAATAAAAAGGGCATTATAAAACAATATATTTGGTCACTTCTTGATATTATTTGTGTCACAGTTTTTCATACATGTAAAATATTATTTGACTATATATATTACATTTTATTCCTGAAAATAAACACAACCACCCCACCTGAATGAATATCCTTCAAAAACCTAACAAACAATAAACGCTTTGGGGTAATTATTCGAATAAATAAAGTAAGTTAATAATGTTCAATAAGATTAGTATGTTAATGTTGTTTCTATAAAGATGTTAGAAATTACTTTATTTTTATATCCATTAGTTACCAATAAGTGAAAAATACACAACAATAAACATGTATGAATAAAAATAAAATGGGTAGCACATTCTTCAACTAAAATGATATACTTGAAATGCAAGTTTTCACAAGGTCAAGGTGAAACAAAGCGCTACCTGTATTATTTGTAAATTTGACAAATATGGATGAAAACATTATTAAGTAAAAGGATTACGTTTTAAGCCAGCCTTAGGGCAACTAATTTGTATTTGGAGTCACAAAAGATCGATGTAGTAAATTAAGTAATAATTCTTTAAGTTTCATCAACAATTTATATTTTTTTACAAATTATCCTTCATTAGCAACATAATAAAATGGATACAAAATTATAAATTTGATCAATTTACAAAAATTTACAAAGGTAAAATTCCATGACTTAAATTGTTGGATACAATGTGGAGAAATCATAAAAGGAATTTATGAGTTAATCCCTATTTAAATTTTATATACCGTATATTTTTTAAAGTTACAGTATTATTTTATCCTTTTGGTGGCAACTTGAATAAATTTTAAATGTAAATTTAAACTAGTTTGGCAGATGTTATTGCAACCTCTACATGGTGTACTTAATCTTATTTTGTTCTTCCATTCCTCCCTCCCTTATCTTAAGTATTTCTGCTATTTATTTTCAGTTATGTTTCTTTCTTTAGTACTGTTATGCATTATGTCTGTTACATATATTGTTTTGGCCATCTTAACAATAGGTGATCTATATGGCAGATTATTTGTCTGTCATTTGTGAAATAGTTTTCATAAACCTGATTGTATTTTTTTATCCTATAGCTGCTGTTGTGTATTCATTTTTGTTGGAAGATTGAAATATATAATGCACTAAATTATATAATGCACACATATTGCATTGTGATTGCAAACTGCGTCCTCGTTGTGACACCATTTACCAACTTACGTAAAAATGCTCAGAAATTGCAGAAAGTGAGCTCTGTACAAGTCAAGTACATAAAATGAAACATGAGAAAAAGACAATACATGCATTAAAACAGAAAACTACAGTAACACAGGCATGTCTTTGTTACAAATTGGAGGTAAATTAAGTGGAAGTAAGGGGGGTATGGCATGGCTGTGATACCTGGAAGCAACGCGTAATTTGCCCTCATATACCTATAACAGAGCTTACTGGAATATATGACCTATGACCTCAGGTTAAAAATAGCAAAAGCTGTTTTAATACAGAACTAGAGACTTCAGCATTTTAAATAAGTTAAAAATATTTCTGAAGATTTATATAAAAGCAATTGATATTAGTAATGCACCAGTTAGTTATCTTGAAAGCGCGATAGCATTGGCATATACCATTAGCAGATACTTACGTGATGACCAGACATGGCAGACTCAGCACGTGGACTGAGCTGGTGGGACTGAGCTGTGCCTGGACGAGAACTAATGTCATCTTGGTTGTTCTAAGTATGTAAATTAAGTCAGGCAAAAAATTAAGAATTTGAGGTTGAGGTTAAAAAGTAGAGTTATGATAGCCAGAAGTAACCTGTTCTTTTTTTTAAGTACACTAGAAATTAATAAACAATTAAATAGAAAGTAAAGGTACCCCAAATTTATGTAAACACTCTTTGATGATATAAAATCTTCAATTATATTAAAATAAGTCTGAAGATTTCTAAGAATTAACTTATTGTAGCAAATTTGTTAGTTGATTATTATTGAAGCAAGTTAGCATGGGTAAATCATTGGCAGATACTTACATTACGACCAGACATGTTGGACTCAGCACGTGGACTGAACTGGCGGGATATGGCTGAGCCTGGACGGGAACTAATATCATCTTGGTTCTAAGCATGCAAATTTAGTCAGGAAAAAAAAGAACATAAACCAATAACATATGCATGCAACAACAGTTAAAACTGAAAATAAACTAGAACAAAACCAAAGTAATTATAAAAAAATATTTAAAAAACTATAACAAAATTAACACAATGTGCTTTGAGAAAGAAAATCAAAATATATGCATGTAGTTGTCTCAGTAAAAAACAAGCATGTTTTTATATTAAAGGCACACACATGGAGTGAGAATTTAAAAAAAAAACATTAATAAAAACAAATCTGAGTATAAATTTTTTTTAAATGTTAGAAAACAAACAAAGAACAGAACATCATCTACTAACAACTCAGGTTTCTTATTATGATGAAGACGTGTAAAGACACATTAACAATTCAAGGTTAGTAAAATTTATTGTGCTGTATGTACTGTTTAATCAACCTTAAAAAAATTACTATGCTGAGTTTTCGCTCTCACGATTACTAAATTAATTGACAAAGAATTCTTGTTAAATTGTCAATGACAACCTAATATGCTGCAGGAGTCAAATTCAGCAGTTAATATATCCAGGGTCATTACAATAATCACCAGTAGCTGCTTCGAATGTCCAATGAAGAAAAAAACCTATCAAGGTAATAACAATTCACGAACCTATGTAATACAAACCAATGAACCTGAAATTCACTGCAGTGTGTCACTTGGATTTGTGATGAGAACATTTTATTATTGAAATTTTATATATATTAATTCACAAATTATCAGTCATGTTTCTTTTTTTTTTTTGGCAGCCACAATACTTCTGATGTATCTGATTATTAATATTTTTTACTCTAATGAAAATAAATTAATGTCTTATGAGGTTTCCCTATTCTATGAACTGCGAAGTACCTAATTTATAAGAACTTACCCTCTGAGAAACAGAGCTGCCAGGGCGCGAGACTGCTGCGACTGAGCGGGCTGCACTGTGACGTCCACTAGTAGTGCTTGCTGCCCTATTGGATAGAGAGGCATCTGAATCCCAACGTTCTAACTCCTCCCGTACGAGACGCTCCATCTGCTCTCGTCTGTTACCATCACCTTCTTCATCCTACAGATTCAGATAAACAGTGTCAAGTAAATTTTTTTTAAATCTGTTATTAAAGAAATCTGGAGAACAAAACCCCTCACAGACCCAATTAAATATTTAATAGCTTATTTAACAGTATCAAGTAAGTTTTTCAGTGAGACACAATGAAGCTAAGCAATAAAATATTCAAGATCAATTATTTTTAGAAACACTCAGCTGATTGATTAATAGATCTTTTTTAGCTCTACTGCCTCTATTATACTGCCCTCATGAGGCTGATTGATTAATAGTTGATTGATTAATAGATCTCTTTTAGCTCTACTGCCTCATTATACTACCCTCATGAGGAGCTCTAGAAACACTTGGCTGAGTGATTAATATTTGATTGATTAATAGATCTTTTTTAGGTTTACTGCCTCTAATATACTGCACTCATCGAAGATTATGTGAACTTGTTTATGAAAACATGAAAAAGATAATGATTTTGAAGAATAAATTCAGGTCTTAGATACAGAGCTTAGTAGATGTATATATAGGCTCATCTCCAAATTTTACAATATTACTTTCTAATATATATTATAATTAATTTTTAACGGAGAATGGCCGAGCGGTTAGCAGGGGCGCCGAAAGCTACAGCCATAATATCAGTGCTGGTTTAAACAGCACGCTCGTCTATCATGGTTCAGGTCGTCTTCTCGGATAAGGACAATAAACCGTAGGCCCAGTGTACAATTTCTATATTTTTTACATGTATCTGCATAAATAAATCACAATATAGAATAGCCTCAAAACTAAATTAAGGTAGTGGGAAAACCTACCTCCTTAATATTGTCAAGTAGTTTGCCCATAGTCTCGCGTCTCTTGAGCTTAGCACGTTCCATAGCCTCCAGCTTCACCAGAACAGCATCAATCTTGGACACAATACTTCCAATTGAGTGCTCCATGCGATCAACTCGACGGCTCAATCTATCGAATAATTGCACATGATTTATTGAGATCTCACAATAAAACAACATTAAGGCAATTAACAACAACTTAGCACTAAGTGAAGTATATATTATTGCTTGTGGTACACCACATAGATAGTTTTGAAAAGAACTGTTGTTGTTGGTTCTTTATAGTGCACACGAGCCGAAGTGTACATTGGGCCTATGTTTTGTAGTCCTTATCAGAACTACCTACTGTATGTGGTGTACCGCAAGCATTAATATATATTATCACTTCGCCATGCAAAGCTTCAAACAATAATAACAGAAGTGGATAGAAATAAATTGAGAACCTAACCTATCGTAAAAAATAGATCAATACACATTAAATTTACATTTACATTAAAATTAAAGTGTTATACCAAATATTTTTTAACATTTTATACCATATTTATATATTTACTATTTAGTGTTCTGTTGGTATCATCTTGGATGTGCATTTACTCAGCTGTGGGTTAACAATGGCTGATGATAATGATAATAAAGATTTTACTAAGGCATTTTGTAAATTTGGACCTTCAATGCGCTATAAACTCAATATATTTATGACTTAGGGAGTCAGCTGTAGGTAATGACATGATGTTGAGATTAAAGCAATGATTCAAGGATTGGAAGACAAAATGATTTGTTATTCATTATTACTTCTTTTTTATTGTGATAGAGTATTCAATTATTCACAAAATATTTTCAATTTTTAATATTATTAGATAAAACTTACACAACAAATTCTTCATAGGTCACTCCACTCACACCACCCCGCCTGTTACCGCCTCCATCCTCATCATCATCTTCATCTCCATAATCATTGCTGTGACTTGTGCTGGGACGTCCACCAATTCCACCTGATTCCTCCAGCTCTGCAAGTTGATTGTTCAAGTCCGACTAGAAATAAAAAAATACGAATTTAAATCTTTAAATCATCAAAAAGCGAAATTACATCACTGATTTATTAATGTATTTCAAAGCCTGCTTTTTAGAATAACATAAAGAAATAAAAAATATGTTAAAGTATTAAATTTTACAACTTCAGGAAATTGTAAACTCTCTGTGAACAGTACCTTTTGTGTTTCAAGATCTGATGCCATTTTCATCTGCTCCTCAGCGTCTAGGATACGGTCGCCATCAACATCATACTTGGCAAATACAGCCTCAATTTCAGTATCCGCATGGCCACGACTATAATTATTGATTTAAAAAAATCAAGTTTAATATAAATTAATTAAAGAGTCAATAAACGATAAATTACATACAGTAGATATTACGTCCAAATGCATAGGTTTTGAAAATTGATTAATTGTTAAAAACATTATTTATAATTCAAAGGCACAACAGAACTATATAAGTACAAATAAAAATAAACATACGCTTTGAGTTCCATTCTCCATTCATCGAAGTCCAAGTGTTGGTCGGCATTATGATCTGCATGAGCAAGCGCTTCTTGAATATCAGCAATTTTGTCGCGTTTGAAGTTCAATTTGCCACGCATCTTCTCATAACCCTTCTTAAAGTAATCTGTGATTTCAAACTCACTCTTCTGGTTTGCAATATCTGCCTTCACTTCACTGTATGTGTCATTGATGATGGCCAAGAACATGTTCTAAAAGATCAAACATCATTATAAGTCAAATAACTCTTGTGAATCTGTGAATCAATAATCTTTAAAGTGGATATTAATCTGTAATAATTTCTGTGACATAATCTGTTACATGAACATATTTTTTCATGATGATGTCATATCACACCCATTTATGTGCATGATGATGTCATATCACACCCATATATGGGCATATCACACCACTATATGGGCATGATGATGTCATATCACACCCATATATGGGCATATCACACCACTATATGGGCATGATGATGTCATATCACACCCATATATGGGCATATCACACCACTATATGGGCATAATGATGTCATATCACATCACTATATGGGAAAATCAAATGTATATTATGTCAGTCACATAAATTTTGATATTGTGGGCTTCGAACGATGTTAGTGTAATACATATCATACTTACCAACAAGACAAAGAACACAACAAACACGTAAGTCATGAAGAACAGTGGTCCAAGTATACGATTAGCCTCCTCAAGCTCATGGAAATCAAAATCTCCAAGAATAATACGGAACAAAGTGAATCTAGGGATTAAAAATAATAATAATAATAATAATAATAATAATAATAATAATAATAATAATAATATTATTATTAGCAAAATCATTAGACATACGTGTCAAGAATCATTTAAATCAATGTGTTGAAATACTTTTAGCAGTAGCAGAACATTGTAATATCACTGAACGCCACCATTAAACCAAGATTGCAGATATGAGTGACCACCCATATACAATAGCCTGCTACGTCATAACACGAACATCAATGCTGACGTGTCAGTTAACTGCCAAATTCAAACGGCTGACGAAGATGATGATGATGTCATTGAAAGCTCACAGAAACTAAACTACAACTCTGAAAGGTAACTTGCACTCTTTTTTTTAATAATAATACTAACGCAGGACACAAAACTAATCTGAAACTAATGTTAAGTTCTTAATGAATATCTTTGTTTATTATTACTAAAAACAAAAAGACTTATCAACCTCATTTGTAAGTCAACCCAAGGGGTCAAAATTTGCTATAATTATCTTTCCATGTGAGTTTATATATGTTTATGTAGAATAGTTTCAAAATAATTTTGTCTATAAACTGTTGTTTCAATTAATAAATAAAACAAACCACATAAACTTAAATATTTGACTGTTTCATTAAATGGTTTATTATGTTTTCCTAAATCATTTCTGCTTCTAAATGTTATTATAATGGCTGTACCTTTAACAATGACTGAAAAGAAAAGTGATTTTCTGGTGCTAGTAACACACATATAATGTTTGATTTACAAATAAATTATTATAAATAACAGATGCTACTTACACACAGTTACCAATAGTGTGGAAATCTTTGATCTGGGTGCCAAACACCAGGTATCCCAATTGGGCATAGGCCAAGAAGATGATCAAAAACATGACAGTGAAGCCACCTACATCCTTAGCGCATTTTGACAATGTCGATGACAGCTGGTTCATGGTTTTGTTAAAGCTGATGTACTTGAACACCTATCAATCAAGCATGTGAATACAATCAATTAACCAATCAATCAAGTTCGCTTAACACAGGGGTGAATAAATAAAAATGGGTCGGAGGGCCAGAGTGAATTTTATATTTAACACAGATGGCTGCACCCAAACTTTGATTGTTCTGGTGTGCTTTCAGAAACCTTCATGCACTGCTTTTATACCACTTTATTCTCAGTTTAAACATTACTTCTTACAGATTATCAAATAGGGCCATAAAAAACAAAGTCTTTTCTAGCCAAAGATGGTTGGCAGGCTGCACACATTTGTTTTAATTCATTTTCGCAGGCCGCAAAAAAAATCACTGTTAGGCTGCATGTACTTGTAAAGAAAAACATATGTCATCATATCAACACCTTAATCATCATCTTCCTTATCAACATCATTCTCATAATCAACTTCAGTATCATTATCAATCATAAAGTTTACATGGTCAATCAATCAATCGAGAACATATTAATTATAGTTGTGAAATTTGTAAAATGCCAACATCATCAGCAACTTCTCATTATCAACATGCTTCTCATAATTATCAACATCAGTATTATCATCAACATAAAAGCATTTAAGAAGTATTCTAAATATATATTTTTTATACCTTGACCCAAGCGAGAAACACTGCAATAGCTATGACATTATTGAAGATTCCTTGACAGTATCCAAGGAACTCGAAGTCTGCGTACTTCTCAGGCTGAGACAGAAGAGTCTCAATCATACGATTCACAGCCAATGTACGATACACACTGAATATCATGCACAAAACAGATATCTAAAAATATACAAATCAACATTATTGATCAAACACTGATATCTATCAAAATCAAATTGATGTGATTAGTCAAACACTGATATCTATCAAAATCAAATCAATGTGATAGGTCAAACACCATTCAAAATCAAATCAAAGTGATTGGTTAGAAGAAATACAGGTTTTGGAAATAACCAACAATGACTGCAGAATCCTCCTTTACTATCTACAGACCTTTTTAATGTGCTACATATAAGGCTAGATGCTAACATCATTAGAATGAATTAACATCTCGACGAGATTTGATTGACAGATAAACCAACTAATCAGCGAGCGTCATTTAGTCATGTGATCAAAAACTTTTTCTTGGACATTTTAATTTCCTTAGACAGCTGGTTTAAACGCGAAACATACGTGGGCCTAGGCCTAGATGTCTATGCTTGGTTATAGATACCCAGATTTACACAAGCAGTACGCATCAGTGACTTGGCCTTTGCCGACAACAAGGTTGACTGAATGCGGCTTTTCCCTCTTCCTTTGGGAGCGAAATACAGAGGCTTTTACAACAATTTCCCCGCCATGTTCCATGAAATAGATAAACACTATGAATATATGATTCATTTGCATACCGCCTACCCTGAATTCTCTTTCTTAAAGAAGGTTGATAGCAAAGAAAATGTTCGCCAACTCGGTAAGTCTAGCCGCCATTGTCTAAGGTTTTTGTGACTTTGTGGGCGGGGCTTCGCGTCCTTTTCGACATGTCAATTGTCATTAACAGAACCTACATTTAAAAAGAATGCTGGTCACCGAATACTTACAATGATAATGATGATGTCCAGGTTGTTCCAGATGGACTTGAAATATGCCATGCGATGCTTACGAATCTCAATAACTTCTTCCACAATGTAGTACATGACAAACAAGACAAAAATAAGTTCGCATGCCCTCACAAAAAAGTCAAAAGCTGTGATGTAACGCAGCAGTTTCACTGTACGGAAATTCCATGAGGGAATTGCACCACCAGTTGCAGGGAACTCCATCACCATTCTTGAGAATTAATAAATAAATAAATAATGATGAATAAAGAAATTTAGTTGCATTTGTCTAATCAAAAAATAAAAAAATATGAACGACAATACAATACTTCAAAGATTAAGCTTTATGTTATTTTGCTAGCTTTTATCCATACAATGCACTTCATGAAGTCAGTGTCTCTTGAGGAAGTCCACTTCTAGTTTAAATGAAGTTTTAAAAACTGGCCTCACAAATATATAGTTAGTTTAAAGTACTGAGCTGTATTTTGTTCTTATTGTAAAAGTAACGCTGAGATTTTTAGAGCAAGTCTTCTTATCAAACAGATTAATTAAAAATGTACTATCTGTCATGAGCTAAAAAATTGAATTTAATAATTTGTATATATAAGTTAGATATCAATTCATAACAAAAATTGTAATAAGAAAAAAATTCAATTAACAGACAGCCAAATGATACCTTTGCTGCATTCTTTTGCATAGACCATGATACTGGCTGGTAATCAAGAATTTGTGTACTAAAGTTCTGTAAATCATCCAAGTTTTTTTCTTCAGGTTAGAAGTTAGGTAATTTTGTCCTTGTAATTAAGCTACTAATTTTTTTATTGAATTTTCTTGAGGTTTTTAGTGATTTCTTTAATGTAAATTAATCAATTATGACACCGACTCATTTCCTTCAGTTTGAATATTGTTTGGAATAACTCCCATTCATGTGCTTACCTCACAATGCAAAAGAGGTTGATGTTAGCGTTGTAAACTGTAAAATCCACCATCACAATACGACTTCCACGGTCAATCCACAAGTTTTCATATAGGTCGTTGATAAGCACTAAGGAGTCGGCACGGTTATCAGTAAGGTCCTGATAGTAGCCGCCACCACTATACGAGGCTAATTTACCCCAGTGAGAGGAGCCATCCAGTTCAGACTGAGGTGCATAAATCCATCTGAAAAAAAACCCCCAAAAATAATCATAAATCATTGCATTGCCTGATGAAGATTCGATGACATCGGTTCAAAACGTAGCAAGTAAGTTAAAGTTTTGGTTTACTATAAACGAAATTTCAATATCATTATTCTTAAATCAGTCTACCATTCATGACTGCATAAGAAGGTCATGTTTTCCGTAATACTCTTTACTGATTTCCTTTCCCATATAGTACTTGCACTCTCAAACTTAAATGTAACTCCTACTTTTCCCATTTGCTTTTTATTTAAAAAATTATCTGGCCATGCCACCTTAAAACCGCTTCTGTACTCTATAGGAAAATGTATGCAATACTGAAAAGATAATGACATTAGAATAATTGATCAGGCCTATTTTTTGTCTACGGATGGAACAGAATTACAGTATTTTAAAAAACGTACGCAGTTCCGTTGGCCTTTCCAAATGGTTCTTGATCTTCTAAACTCTCAGCATATGGGGCGTAGCATGTCTTGATGATGTCTTTAAAATGGTCATGAACTATGCAAGAATCATTCCTAACTTTCAGCTGTCTCATTCTCGGAATTCCTAACATCTTGTTTTCATAGAATATGTAACCCCATTCATCTTTTGTCACGTTCTCATTATTGTACCACTTCTCCCAATAGAGTCCATCCATGAGCACATTCTGGGAGAACTGCAAAAGAATGAAAAAATACAGCTATAAAAACCTCCACTACAATATGAGTAATGTGGGATTCAGATATAGAACACTGTAGGTTGAAAAGTAAATTTCAACACAATGTGTCAATGTAATCATTGTTGATGTACAATTTTTTTTTTTTTAATTCAGATACACTATTTTTAACTTATGCCTAGGCCTATGGTATTACAGTATTTATAGGATTAATTTTAACCACCGCCATATCCCATGGCCCCCATTTTGGTATGGAAAATGATAACCACAGGGCTAAAATCCACGGTTAGGGTATAAAATTGGCATTTTCAAACATATTGTGGGGTAACAAAAATATGTATTTACAAAATGCGGAACACTAGATTTTTTATATTTTTAATCAGTAAGGCTTGGACAAACAACACACATAGGCCTAATAACAAACAAGAAGATAAAATAACGAGGACTGATGATATAGAAAAATAGAATAGATAGAAATCTTCCTCTATTCTGAATGCTCAGTCAGTATTAGTACACTGTCCTTCCCTGAGGTCCATGGTATGATCTTAAATTACAATAAATTACAAAAACAAAATTAAGAAAAAAATGTAAATAAATTACATAAATACAAGAAACAGAAAAGAAAAACAAATGGGTAAATTAAATGAGATTTTTAAAGGGTTTTAAGCAAAGAGAATGAATATTGCTAAGAATATCTGATGATAGATTGTTCCATAATTTAACTGAGCGATATTTGAAAGTTCTTTACCCAAAATCATTTCGCCTTTTTCTCAGGATCAAAGAGTTTTTCAATTTACTTCATTTTGATGATAATGATGATGATAATGACAAGCATAAGAGAAGATAGGATGACAAAGATAAAAACAAATATGACGATGACAACAATGATTATGATGATGTGCAGGTAAATCTCAAACATACCCTCCAGAAATCAGCCATAGTAGAGGATCCACGGAATGTATTCTTGGTGTCTGGGTACTGAGAGTCTAAGAATAACTCTGACATAACCTTGGTGTAGTAGTACATAGTAGAGCTGGTCATACCAAAGGTAACTGTAGAAACAAAATTAGCGTACAGACAATGACGTCATCAAAATATAAAGATATTGTTAGTTTTGTCTGTTTATTATTTTAATACAGTAACAATAAACAAACCATATGCAAAGAATATGCATCCAACTGCAATGTTGATTGTGTCTAATTAACACACTGTTATAACCATGTGGGCTGAGCGAGATGAACAACCACCGTCGGTGCACAGAATAATTTCTTTCATACAGTTTCTACATGAAATTTTACATAATTTTGCACAAGAAAGCTAATTGTTTGACTCGCCCAGCACAGTGCACGTTATTTTAGTTCATCGCAGCACGCCCAGAAAACAACACAGTTCTGTTACTTAGAACAGCAATGAAGGGGAATTCCCAAGTTTATAAAAAAATAACTTTTTCAAATGCCAGCAAATATTTTTGGCTCCTCCTTGGTTAAAAAAAAAATTGCCTAAAACCTGGCCGAAAAATTTTAAAGATTTGTGTCAGTTGAGATTGGGCAACACAAACTTCATTTTTGGCCTGATAATCATTTTCATCATGACGGAACATATTCAAATGACAAAAGTGACTTCTTATAAAGCTTTAATGATGGCTTGCCACAAGTAAGATAAACAGATAAAAGATACAGATGTCACAAACAAAATTGAAGTAGAAATAATTGTAATCTTTTGCTAGGCAACATAACAGTAAGAATTGGTAACTATTACTAATGCTACAGCAAGTAAGCTACTTTTATTGATAGCCAATAATGCAGCAGCAATAACCTTCATTAGAAAAACCCAGCTTCAGAGTTATACCATAGCTTTCTTATCGAAAATGGTTTAATTTGATAACTGCGTCACCTGTTGGCATGGAGTTGCCATAACAACTACATACAATTGGATTTATCGATATTGATCGTAGTATTGACGCACATACAGAGTGAAAGGGAAATGAGTGCCAATAGTCTGTTATGGTACTTAGACGATTAATTGCATACAACAGTTTTCATAAAGCCTATAAAAAAGTACATGGGTCCATTTTCCTTTTCAGTATAGAGTTGAATTTTAAATCCTATATAGTACATCAATAGCAACTAATTACAGAAGTACAATACAACATAAACATATTTTCATGGGAGAATTTATATAAAGACAATGTTGTTAATAATAATAATGGCATACTTTAGAGGACTACAACTTACAACGTAAAATTAATATGGTTTTTAAACTTTTATTTTTGTTTAACAATGCACTGACAGCAACATGAACAATTCTCAATACCTTGCAAAGATTTACAATAAATTTCTTTAAAATAAAGTATAGTCTTATAATTCATCATTAAAATGCACTAACTGTATTTATTTTTTTTTAAAGACAAAAAGCCACAGAAAATTCTACATTGTACAGTAAATGATTTTGTGCATCAACATTATGCTTTTATCAATTTACTGACATTTTTTTTCTGTACTGGATTAATATATTCTTAAAATTATTTGTAAATATAGAGCAGGTTCATAATGTCTCCATTCATTTACCGCATCTTCAATATTACCAAGTACTTCTACTAATTGAATCAAACAATAGATTCTAAGGTGCTCTCACAGGATTCGCAAAACCATCCATCTCATCTCATTACAGTTAATAATACTGTACATGTTCACTCTATTCAGATGCAAATAGCAGCAAGAACACAGTTCTGTTACTTAGAACAGCAATGAAGGGGAATTCCCAAGTTTATACCTTTGTCGTATAAGTAATCTTGCAATATTATTATATGTTCTTTAGTTAAATAAATAAAATGATGAATTAATACAAAGACACATGGTTTTATTTGAACACTTTATTATGACAAGAAAGTATAATACATACTCCAAGTATTGAAATACACGCCATCGTGTTGGGATTCAATATTTCGACATTAATTATGTCAAATTATACTTTCTTATCTGAGATTAATCAGTGGACCTTTCGGTTATTATGACAATGTAATGAATAAAAACACTATTGTAAACACATGGATTTATTTGTAGTCATCACAAATTTAACCAAACTTGATATTTTAACGAATCCCCTAATTTATGTATGCCTTCCAGTCCCGTACATAAAATTGAGGTTCTACTGTACAACTGTACATGAAATGATTTGGATGATTCAGTTAAGACTAATAGTTTAACATTATAAATAAGTTTTCATTATTTTAAAGCTTATTTAAACCATACTAAAATACAGCAGACCTCAGCCCAATTCTACTGTAGTTTTCATTGCCAACCATCACTCACCCCCAAGCATTTTAGATGGTAAAATGTAACCCCATTGCTTGTATTACTGGTTAATATAACATTTATTATAGCTTGAAAAATAACTTTTTCAAATACCAGCAAATATTTTTGGCTCCTCCTTGGTTAAAAAAAAAAATTGCCTAAAACCCGGCCGAAAATTTTTTAAAGATTTGTGTCAGTTGAGATTGGGCAACACAAACTTCATTTTTGGCCTGATAATCATTTTCATCATGACGGAACATATTCAAATGACAAAAGTGACTTCTTATAAAGCTTTAATGATGGCTTACCACAAGTAAAATAAACAGATAAAAGATACAGGTGTCACAAACAAAATTGAAGTAGAAATAATTGTAATCTTTTGCTAGGCAACACAACAGTTAGAATTGGTAACTATTACTAATGCTACAGCAAGTAAGCTACTTTTATTGATAGCCAATAATGCAGCAGCAATAACCTTCATTAGAAAAACCCAGCTTCAGAGTTGTACCATAGCTTTCTTATCGAAAATGGTTTAATTTGATAACTGCGTCACCTGTTGGCATGGAGTTGCCATAACAACTACATACAATTGGATTTATCGATATTGATCTTAGTATTGACGCACATACAGAGTGAAAGGGAAATGAGTGCCAATAGTCTGTTATGGTACTTAGACGATTAATTGCATACAACAGTTTTCATAAAGCCTATAAAAAAGTACATGGGTCCATTTTCCTTTTCAGTATAGAGTTGAATTTTAAATCCTATATAGTACATCAATAGCAACTAATTACAGAAGTACAATACAACATAAACATATTTTCATGGGAGAATTTATATAAAGACAATGTTGTTAATAATAATAATGGCATACTTTAGAGGACTACAACTTACAACGTAAAATTAATATGGTTTTTAAACTTTTATTTTTGTTTAACAATGCACTGACAGCAACATGAACAATTCTCAATACCTTGCAAAGATTTACAATAAATTTCTTTAAAATAAAGTATAGTCTTATAATTCATCATTAAAATGCACTAACTGTATTTATTTTTTTTTAAAGACAAAAAGCCACAGAAAATTCTACATTGTACAGTAAATGATTTTGTGCATCAACATTATGCTTTTATCAATTTACTGACATTTTTTTTCTGTACTGGATTAATATATTCTTAAAATTATTTGTAAATATAGAGCAGGTTCATAATGTCTCCATTCATTTACCGCATCTTCAATATTACCAAGTACTTCTACTAATTGAATCAAACAATAGATTCTAAGGTGCTCTCACAGGATTCGCAAAACCATCCATCTCATCTCATTACAGTTAATAATACTGTACATGTTCACTCTATTCAGATGCAAATAGCAGCAAGTCACAAACTTGTATGCACAAAAGCAAGCTAAGTATAGAGCTACTTAAGAATGATCCAAATGAATGTGTGAATAATAAAATATGACACTAAATATACAGTAGTATTTTTGACAAAATATTACTGTACATGATTTGCTTACCAATGCAAATGACAACCAAGAACACTAAGTAGATGGCCAACTCTCGCAGGGTGGTCCGCACATGAAGCTCCTTGTCGGCTTTCGTGTCATCTGTTTGTCTTGTTCTCCAGAAGGCTAAAGTTTAATGATCAATATATACAGATTTAAAATAATATAATTATAATATTATACCAACAACATCACTAATTTGCCAATATAACCAAAACGAATGATTAAAAAAAATATTATAAAAATAACAGCATGGAAAGTTAGAGGGTAGTTATCTACATGTAGGTCTGTTATGTTGCTAAGTAATATGTTAAATAACATCCACAGCTAGTATCTTTAACACAAAATGATTAACACTATAAGTTTCCATAATATTATAATTCTATACTTTACTGTACACTAGTGTATTCAATCAAAAGTATCCTTTGATAAGTTTTTTTTGTTTTATTAAATTGTCAGATTGGCCTTTTCATTGTACCCTGTATTTTATTTTTGTACTAAAGATTCGTTTTTATAAAGTCAATAATAAGTTTAAATCCTCCTATAAAACCATAATGCATATAATGCCAATGAAGAACTACTATATGACATTAACTTATACTTACTAAAAAACATACAAATCAGTTGACACATTCTGAATAAATTTTAAGTATTTAGCCTGTGAATATTCAAAGTCCGAAGCCAGCAATAACCATCCTAACACTGTGAGGCCTTTAGACGAATCCTAAAATATGAAGCTACATGTCTAGGACCAACTCATTAGTCCAGTGTACCTGCAGAGAATGCTAACATAACTTAGTTCAAGTGCAGGCAGGGAAGGTATCTACTCTATTTGGGCCAAAAGATTCCTCGCTTAGATAACAAGCAATGATCAATGGCCATCCTAACCTGGAGGCTACCACACTGCAGTGTTCACAACAGAAGTAAAAGCCTCCTGCTAAAATTCTTAGGAAACATCAAAGCCCCTTTGATCACTGGAAAAGGATTCTTAATTGAGAGTTTGTATCAATTATACTCATCACAATGTTATCTTATATCCTCTAAATTCATGTCACAACAGTGACATAAAAGAGGCAAAATTGCAAGTAAATTTAAATAAATAAAAAAAACATGTGCATACTGTGAAGGATGAAATATGGTAAAGCCCTTTATTTTTGCGCGCTCTTAATTTTTGTGATAAGATGATTGTTGAACGATAGTTTTGTCTTCAAAAGCAAAGCTATAGCTACAGGTATTGGCTAGCAAGGCCATTACATCACACTTCACACAGCATTATTTCTTCTATATTACGAGCATTTCCCATTAGTTGTTAACTAATTATTAACTACAGTACTACAACTCTTGGTACCCCTTTTGGTCAACTTTGTTAAGCCTACATTTGCTGCAAGATTTTCAACTAACAACGATTTGAAAAAAACCTTGGTCAAGCCTCCACAGGCTTGCACCTTGAGTACTGTAGGGCTACTGTAGCTGCAGGCCTGCCTACGGTAGCTGGCTTAAAATTAGGAGGGTAGGAGCTTGAAAATTTGAAAGAAACCAACCAAAATTGTGAGCTCTAGCTATAATAATAGACTTCAAAAAATTAATGGTACATTTCAGCATCTTGTAAAAAAATGACTAGAAACCATAATATCACGAAAATAAAAGGTAGCAAAATATTTTTAATTGTAAAATCACGAAATTAAAGGTCAGCGAAAGTAAAGAGTTTTACAGTATGCAATATCTGTCCAATCATTGTGTTGATACCACGATTATGGTGATGATAATTAGTAATAATTAATATAATTGCAATACCAATACATCATACAGTACAGTAAATGTTCATAATTGAAAAGTTTTTACTGTGCCATAAAGGCTCTGAACTGGTCTACTCTACGTACAGGTCAAAGTTTAGTTATGCGTACTATAGTTATCAAAAATAGGGAACTTTCGATTTGTGCGACAATGCGACGCTAGAACAGAATCACTCATGTGTGACCGTCCTACCTTCTCTGCATACGTACATTTGGCCAAATTGCATTCCAAAATCTACTCGACGAGGTAACCTTAAGGTTCTCGCATGCGCAGATGACTTTTAGTGACGTCATTACGTTCTACGCCCTACCGTCGTTGTGCAATCAAAAGCTCCCTTTGTACCGTAGGCTGCTAAATTTAGGTACTGAAGGATGTATTCACAGCTGCCAGTGCTATTATTATAACATCAAATTTACATTTAAGAAAGTCTACCAAATTGTTATGGTTGTATCATTCATATTAACTGTTAATAGAGACTGGCTGATATAATTATAATATACAGTAATAATGACTCAAAAAAGCAGGTTAAATTTAATTAATTTTTTCAGCATTTTCTCATCAATTAAAGTCTACCAGATGCTCTACAGTGCTTTGACAATTTTCTTCTTTTTAGTTTCTCTTTTTGTAGAGTGTTCTTATCAATGCTCAGGCACGTTCCATAGCCGAAGGCAATTGGTTTTTTACAAATATTCCAAACGCCGTTCTCTATAGAGATAGAGGATCAATTATGTACATCTCACTGCTCCCTTTTGGGTACACAAGCCTACTCACTAAGAAAATACGAACCAAACAATACCATTCACTGTTTACGACTGAAGTGAGAAACACCAAGAAAACCCATTTGTGAGACAGATTTAAAGAGTCAAAATTTTGGAACAGCCTGTGCAACAGCTGACAGTCAACACCTGACGTCCAAATGATAAAAATAATAAGCATTCATTTAAAATTATTATATATTTGTAAATGTTTTCTTTTGTACAGTATATTTTATTGAATTGTATTGAATAAAGAAACAATAAACTGAACATATTGTAGCTAAATTACTAGAAATACTGTATCTCGCAGTGTTTAGTGAATGACTTAACACTCGTATTGTATTATTTCCCTACAGTATTAATAGTACTGTACTACTGTACCTGTAGTATACAGTAAATGGTACTGGCTTATTACATTATATTTATTACATTAATTTAGAATAAGATTAACTTGAACAACTTTCAGGGGATAATAATTCTTCCAGTTTACTAAAGTTGACTATTGTACTCAGGGTTTAACTTCTTTTTTTTTTTCTTAAGAATAATTTGAAATGTTTACTGTAACATTTAGGTGCTTTTGTAAAATAACTGTTAGAGTTAAACAATGGACCTAATAGGTCCATGGTTAAACTTAATATAAATTTCAATAGTAAATCCTCAAATACTATAATAAAACTATTACTTTAGCATTTGTTTCCTTAAATAACCTTACTGTAGACAATTTCTATGTTTCTGTGAAATTTTTACAATTATAAAACATAATTAACAATCAAAAATCCAATTAAAATAAGCTCTCCCACTCTTTGCAACAATAACATGTATAGTGAAATATAATTCAATTCAAGATGCACTCAAAATTCTTTTTCTAAAAAAGAAAACATACCACCTACACTTTCTATTTAATGCATGATGTCCAAAAGGTAGGGAGATCTGATGAAAATCTTTCTTTCATTAATTATCGATCTAGCTCACAACGATAAATTATTCAGGACCTCACCAAACAAAAGAAATTTGTCAATATTACCAATAAAGCTACCTAAGAGTAGATTCGATCGACGAATTCAACCAATCGATAAGTAAACTAGAAAAACATCATGCCATTTAGTTAATTTACAGAATACGAGTACAGCAAAAATAAATTTGAATAGACTTTGATAACCAAACAATTACAGACTTATTACTTTCAGATGACGAGTAACGGAATTAATTATTGATTGCTATTCACTGTATATCGACATGAGAAACAGAACAGCAATTCATATTGATACAGGTTCGCCATCTTGAATTTTTTTATGAAGAATTGCTGACACAAGATTATGTAATGCAAATTATTAACTACTGTACACTGAAGACATAGATATATTCTTCCCATAAAGTAACTGAAATGATGGGAAATTACAATATAAACCATTCTTCGAAACGAAATAACATCAACTGAAATTTGTAGAATACTGTATGCCACATGGTGAACTGAAAATTATAATTACAACATGAAGCTAGTGATCAAAGGAGATACTGTATATATGAATTAAGAAGGTTGAAAACAAGGCAGAAAATTAAAATGTTTCAATAACTTGCATGGACATGTGTACAATCATAGGCCTATAGCAAATTTTTAAGATCAAAAATCAGTCTAGAATAACTTAACTCTAAAATCGCAATGGCTATGCTTACAGTACCAGTGCATGTTCTTATCTTATACATACATTCCCTTTCTTTATATGCTGGTGTTATTATCACCATTAACATGAACGAAAAATTGGGAATGGACAAAACACAAATAGGAGGAACTTGACAGTACAATCAGGGGGTACAATTTTCCGAACAAACTGGCATGAGAGTGCAACGTAAATAAACATGGGCAAAGATATTCACATTAGGCATATTCACACTACTTCATTAAAAAAAACTGCATGGAAGAAATGTGTTAAGATTAAAGCAGGCTTTGAAATAAAATATTGAGCACATCTGATAAGATGATTTTCAAAATAAAAGCTGAAAATGTAGGACTTGGGGGAAAAATACTGTCCGACTTAACTATTAGTAATAATAGTACTAAACCACACCTAGGCCTAGATAAGGTAATTAAGCTAATTCTCACTTCTTTACTCTCTTTGCTATTGCACACTAACATACTCAATATAAATAATCTGTGGTCCTTGAATTGAAAAGATCTGTGTGTGTTAAGGCACACTAGCCAATGATTATGCTAGCTGTACTGTAGGCCTACCCATCAGGATAACTTCTACTGCAACTTTTTAATGTGATTAAAGAGCAGTCAGTGGCCCCATTTCATTTCATTAATTGCTTCCTTTGAACAAACAAATTTAAGGTGATCTTCTTGTGTACACATTTAGTCTTTATTGTTATTGTACTGTATGTATACAGTAGAAGGTCAAAGCCTAGGCCTAGAAAATAATGCATTCAATAGGCCATTGTTGTCATCAGTAACAAAATTCTAGCCTTTATCTTCTTTTTAGGCTAGGCCTAGATCTTAAATTAATTAAGGCAAGAAAAAAGTTCTGTGAACATTACATTAATTATATTGCAGTATTGGGTTGTGCGTTGTTGCCAGTGGTAGACAATTTTGATATATGTAAAATGTGATAGTAATATAGGGCCTAATACTTATGGTAACCAAAGTACTTACATCGCAAGAATCTTTTGAATTTTGTCCAACATCCAGCCTTCTGCTGAAGTTCCTTTTCTTTCATAACACTTGAATCAACAACTCGCATTTGACCTGCAATATAAACTTCACTTTCCATTGCCTGTGGGCCTTCGCCCTCATCAGAATTCTCATCTTCTCGTCCAAAACTGCTGTTCAATTCCCTTTCTTCAGTCCCCATATCAAATCCTTGGTTATCCCAGGCCGTTCGTGAAGAAACACTAGGTGGTCGTCTGTCAAATCCTTCCTCCTCCTCAATTTTGTCCATATCAGCGTCACGATCCATCATTGACGATGCATTGCCTGGCCTAGGCGATGGGCTAACTCTTGGACTTTTCGGTCGCCTTGATTTTGCACTCATATTGCACGATCAAACTATCTTATATATGTTAAAAATATATTCGATAAATTAAAGAAACAATCAGTAAGTTACAAACCGCAAATTAGGGAGGAATACCTCCGAAATAATGCATCAAATTGCTTATCGTCTCGCCTTCCGCCTCTCTAAACACCAGCCTTATGCCTGAATCTTCGTATAAACTTTTACCTTGGTTTGTGGCTCCTTGCGTGCTTGATTGGCAAAATGAGTGACGTCATTGTTATCGATAAAAAGAACGCTCACAGAACTACACGGTCGGTAGTAAAGAGAATAGTACAATGATCACTTCGAAACTTAAAATGTTGGCCTAAAATCACTGAGGATAGCGCTGTCTGCGAGAGAGCCAGCCACCCCCCCCCCACCTCCCATCGGGGAGAA